AAAACATAACAGCAAGTAGCAGCAACAAATTCAACAGAAATACACCACTTACAAATCTATCAAAACCATCAATCAATCACTCAATCATTTAATCAAATGAAGTCTAATTTTCTGCTGTGCCTTACTAGATATTCGTAATATTTGCATGCCATCTCTAATCCAGAAAGTGAATTCAGGGGTTCTTCTCTCTTTTCTATTGTATTTTGTTTGATTCAGCCAGGCTGTAAATGGCTCTGCCCACACAAGCGTGCTATCCAAGTATCATCTGCCTCCACTACAGAGGGACACGTAGTTCTCAAATTGCACAAGTGTGGTGATGTTACCGCACTCTCAGTCCACTGATTACTTCCTGCAGCTTCATATCTCAAGGTCCATACCTACATATGGATCTGGTGCTGGAAGAATAGTCTTCAGGAACCTCTGCAATACACCTACAGTGCATTGACCATGGTTGCAATTTTTGCCAAAAGGTAATAAATGCACGATTTTTCTTTAGCAATATGGCTGCATTTATTTTTTTATTTTTTATGGCATGGAATATGCCTTTAAGTAACACTTTTTTTTGTAGCTAACATGATGCAGGCACTGGCTCCAAAACACACACGTAGCAGAGAAACTTTCAAGTAAATTAATCCCTGATTATTGTATTGTAATAGTGCTAAAGCACACAGACTTTATCAGTGATTTCTCCTCAGTGCTAAAAGGCTACCTTCTGTCCTCTACTTATGTGCCATAGCAAAGAAAAATGGACAGAAGGTGTGGTCTAAAAGATTAACATTTCTCCCAGCCATTTAAAATGCTCTAAGTCGAAGATCAAAGACGATAATGCTGAGACCCTTCCTTGTAGTGAACAATTCCTCAGCGGCCTCGTCCATTCACTGGCTACCCCAGGCTTAGCAGTATTATATTCTACTCCATCATACATTACGGCAACCTGCTTCTCCCCATGGTTAGCCTATTCTTCCACATGCTAAATCTTTTCATATGGGTTTAATCAAACCAGAGGAAAGTATAATTCCCTGGCTCTAATGAAAAATCCACTTGAAGATAAAACTTTTCATTGAAATTACACTTCACCTTCTGTTTTTGTATTATGTCTGTATATACTGTACTCACTGTAGTCAGTTTTAAAACAAGGGCTTTGTGCTATTGCTTATGCTGCAGCTTTTTTCACCAATATATTTCTCTGGGGATTCAATCAAATTACACCTTCAATGCACACAACTTGCTGTTTAGAGAAACTCACAAATTAATTATAATCTTAAATTGTCCTTGAAATTATTATTACATAGTATATTCAATAAAAAAAGTAAAAAATACATTAAAAAAATTAAAATATCTTCATAAATTTAAATTTATTCTGCTATAAATTTTGGGAAAAAAAATCTCAATAAGTGTATATTGTGTGCCCCCTACCGGGAAGAGCTGGCTCACGTACTAGGTCTGTGATCATGCATCGGAGATGCACCTTGCCACCACACATGTAAGTGATGCGGTCGGCAAGCCAATATACACTTTAGGCGTGCAGTTCATACTGAGTCTACAGTAGTCCTGACAGTAGCTTCCCAGGATGGGTAATTCCACCAACATGAAATGTAAAACCTTGCTCTGGGAGTTAGCTGTGTGCGCACAATCACAACTTTGCTTGTGCACACACAAGCACTGCTTGCCCTATTTTCCTAGAGATACTTTAGGTATTTAAGGGTCTGTTCACAACCAGCAAGCCATACTGAAAGTGGAACTGCTGATGTAGACTGGAAGGAACAGCACCAATAGGCCAATCCCAGTCCTTTACACTGTTTACTTTTTATGTTCAAGCTCTATTGAAATTTTACAAAATTACAATTAAGTGTTACTAAATCCACAACAGTAAAAAACAGTCTGTATATGCAGTAAAGCATGCTTGTCATACTCACTGTGGAACCTAAGGGGTTAATCCTTTGCATTGTGTGTAAAAAACACTGTTTGATCCTGACTTCTCCTGAATTTCCCTTCTATCAGTGTCCCCCTCTTATTTCCTGTTTAGACATATCGTTTTGGAGTCACTCTGTGCATGCTCAGGGTTTTTTAGTTGTAATAAGAGGTTTAGAAAAGCTTGAAAAATTCGGCGATAGTACAGTTTAGAAAAGCGCTTGCTAAAGTGATATTAAAGATTTTTTTTTTTCTTGCTCTTTCTACTGTTGGTGTGAACACTATTCTCTGCTGCTTCTCAATGTTCACTTCACAGGTTTCCTTGAATCACTGGTACCCAGAGCACTGTCTTCACTTTCTGGTATAAGGGTGGCTCCTTGGCTTGCAGGGTTCTGTGGAGCCAGTTGTTCCTGGCGCTCCTGTGAGAAACTATAGGGTGTAAGATGGCGTAAGGGCTGTACCTGGGTAGACAGGCCTGACAGCCTGAGAGCATTAGATACATAAAACTTAAAACCTCAAAATTAAGTGATTGAAAAAAGCTTGTAAGCACTCCCCATACACAATGGTGCTATGAATTATGAGACATGTCCCGAGGAAGGGGATCAGGTGGTTGTTACTTAAGTAATAATTGCGCACTCCCCAACAGGATGTTCAGGGAAGCTGCGCACAGTAGCTTAAAGCTGCAGCTGTAATAAAATATAAAAGTAAGTGTTTTGTAGACCCTTTACAAAATAATCTATAGTGGGTGACTGGGGACAAAGAGAAGGCAAATTTATTAAATACCTTCTTCAGCTGTGTGTATACAAAGGAGCATGGGGGAGCTCTTGTCCATAATGGGCATGGTATTGACACAGCTCCAGATGATCCAAATTGGCTCACAATTGATATGATCCAGAAATATTTAGACAGAATAAAGGTAAAATAAAGCATCTGGATCGGATGGCATACACCCACGGGTCCTTAAAGAATTGAGCTCTGTCATTTCAAAGTCATTGTTTCTAGTTTTTAGGGACTCTTTAATGACTGGCATAGTACCACTGGATTGGGGAAAAGCCAATGTGGTGCAATATTTAAAATGGGGTCAAAATCTTTACCAAGTAATTATAGACATGTTAGTTTAACTTCTATAGTTGGGAAGATACTGGAGAGTTTAATAAAAGACCACATAGATGAGTTCTTGCTGGAAAAAAATATTTTAAGCCACAGACAGCATGGATTCATGAAAGACAGAAGTTGTCAAACAAATCTGATTTTTTTTATGAGGAAGTAAGCAAACCTTGGACAGAGGGGTGGCGGTGGACGTGGTATACTTGGATTTTGCAAAAGCGTTTGACACAGTTTCCCACACATGGCTAATGTGTAAGGTAAAGTCTACAGTCTTGGAAAAATCTGTATGTAAATGGATAGAAAACTGGCTAAAGGATCGTATTCAGAGAGTAGTGGTTAATGATTCATACTCTGAATGGTCTAGGGTTGTCAGTGGTGTATGCCAAGGTTCAGTGTTGGGACCCTTACTTTGTAATATATTTGTAAACGATTTAGGGCCTGAGAGTATAAATACCATTTTAGTCTTTGCAGATGATACCAAGCTGTGCAGTGGAATAACGTCCTTACAGGATGTCTTCAATTTACAAGCCGACCTCAATGCACTTTTTAATTGGGCAACTATGTGGTAAATGAGGTTTAATGTTAATAAATGTAAGTTTATGCACTTGGGGGCTAAGAATATGCATGCATCATACATACTAGGGGGGGGGTACAACTGGGGAATCAATGGTGGAGAAGGATCTGGGAGTTCTGGTAGATCACAAGCTTAATAATGGCATGCAATGCAAAGCTGCAGTTTCTACAGCAAGCAAAATCCTCTCTTGTATTAAAAGAGGTATAGACTCCAGAGAGAGAGAGAGAGATCATATTACCCCTGTACAAATCATTAGTAAGACCTCATCTGGAATATGCAGTTCAGTTTTGGGCACCAATTCACAAAAAGAACATTGAGGAACTTGAGAAAAGTACAGAGAAGGGCAACCAAACTGATAAGAGGCATGGAGGAGCTCAGCTATGAGGAAAGATTAGAGGAACTAAATTTATTCTCTCTTGAGAAGAGGAGATTAAGGGGGGATATGATGAACATGTATAAATACATCAGTGGTTCATATAGTGAGCTTGGTGTAGGGTTATTCACCCTGAGGTCAACACAGAGGACAAGGGGGCACTCTTTACATCTGGATAAAAGAGATTTAATCTCCAAATACGGAAAGGTTTCTTCACAGTAAGAGCTGTGAAAATGTGGAATAGACTCCCTCAAGAGTTGGTTCTGGCCAGCTCAGTAGATTGCTTTAAAAAAAGGCCTGGATTCTTTCCTAGATACACAGAATATAACTGAATACTAACATTTATAGGTAAAGTTGATCCAGGGAATATCCGATTGCCTCTCAGGGGGATCAGGAAGGAATTTTTACCCCTGCAGAAGCAAATTGGATCAATATTTGCTGTTTTTTTTTTTATGGTTGAACTAGATGGACTTTTGTCTTTTTTCAGCCAGTCTTATTATGTAACTATGTGTTTAACCTTCAACAAATAGCAAAAGAGCAAGAGGCACCATAAGTTTATTGTATCGCTGAACATATATCATCTGCCAAGTAACCAAAAACCAAGCATTCCAAAAATTATGCTTTATTCCAAAATTTGCATATATAGATAATTGTCTATATATGCAAATTTTGGAATAAAGCATAATTTTTGGAACTTTTTGGGCATCGCTTTCTGTTCATGATGTAACCGCTTTTCTTGTAAATCCCTTTTCATATCCCCCCTTATTTTGATACGTGTTTAACCTCCCTGGGTAGCTCGGGGTTAATTAACAGTACCAAAAGCGGTAACCCCGAACTGCACTTAGGATTACCCCCTGCAGCGTTGCTCTGGGATTCCCAGTTTCACTTACTTTGTCTATTGAAATTTTACAAAATTACAATTAAGTGTTACTAAATCCACAACAGTAAAAACAGTCTGTATATGCAGTAAAGCATGCTTGTCATACTCACTGTGGAACCTAAGGGGTTAATCCTTTGCATTGTGTGTAAAAACACTGTTTGATCCTGACTTCTCCTGAATTTCCCTTCTATCAGTGTCCCCCTCTTATTTCCTGTTTAGACATATCGTTTGGAGTCACTCTGTGCATGCTCAGTTTGGTGTGTATTGCTAGAGAGGATTTTTTTTTCCTTGGAGAGTGCATGTGGTCAGCACAGAGCCAATCAGCACTGTCACACAGAAAGAGGTCAGGGTTCCTGCATCCTCCTAAATCAGAAATGGAAACTCCTCCTATAAGTTTAACCAGTGCTCTGCTTGACACTGATAGAAGTCACAAGATCGCTCTAACTGCTGATGAGAAAAGGTATTTAACAGTTTATATTTACTAAAATAATTGCATTTCCATGTTCTGTGTACTGTGGGAGACCAGATATAGTGAATGCCGGGTCTGGGGTCTAGTACCACTTTAAGTTCTATTGGCCGCAGTGGAATACGTTGCACCACACTGTGCTGACAAAAAGTGCTGACATGTATGACGTAACTATATTTTTTAATGAGAAAAAACATTCTGTGCCGTACAATTAGCCTTTTTTAGTTGTAATAAGAGGTTTAGAAAAGCTTGAAAAATTCGGCGATAGTACAGGGCGCTTGCTAAAGTGATATTAAAGATTTTTTTTTTTCTTGCTCTTTCTACTGTTGGTGTGAACACTATTCTCTGCTGCTTCTCAATGTTCACTTCACAGGTTTCCTTGAATCACTGGTACCCAGAGCACTGTCTTCACTTTCTGGTATAAGGGGTGGCGTCCTTGGCTTGCAGGGTTCTGTGGAGCCAGTTGTTCCTGGCGCTCCTGTGAGAAACTATAGGGTGTAAGATGGCGTAAGGGCTGTACCTGGGTAGACAGGCCTGACAGCCTGAGAGCATTAGATACATAAAACTTAAAACCTCAAAATTAAGTGATTGAAAAAAGCTTGTAAGCACTCCCCATACACAATGGTGCTATGAATTATGAGACATGTCCCGAGGAAGGGGATCAGGTGGTTGTTACTTAAGTAATAATTGCGCACTCCCCAACAGGATGTTCAGGGAAGCTGCGCACAGTAGCTTAAAGCTGCAGCTGTAATAAAATATATAAAAGTAAGTGTTTTGTAGACCCTTTACAAAATAATCTATAGTGGGTGACTGGGGACAAAGAGAAGGCAAATTTATTAAATACCTTCTTCAGCTGTGTGTATACAAAGGAGCATGGGGGAGCTCTTGTCCATAATGGGCATGGGTATTGACACAGCTCCAGATGATCCAAATTGGCTCACAATTGATATGATCCAGAAATATTTAGACAGAATAAAGGTAAATAAAGCATCTGGATCGGATGGCATACACCCACGGGTCCTTAAAGAATTGAGCTCTGTCATTTCAAAGTCATTGTTTCTAGTTTTTAGGGACTCTTTAATGACTGGCATAGTACCACTGGATTGGGGAAAAGCCAATGTGGTGCAATATTTAAAATGGGGTCAAAATCTTTACCAAGTAATTATAGACATGTTAGTTTAACTTCTATAGTTTGGGAAGATACTGGAGAGTTTAATAAAAGACCACATAGATGAGTTTCTTGCTGGAAAAAAATATTTTAAGCCACAGACAGCATGGATTCATGAAAGACAGAAGTTGTCAAACAAATCTGATTTTTTTTATGAGGAAGTAAGCAAACCTTGGACAGAGGGGTGGGCGGTGGACGTGGTATACTTGGATTTTGCAAAAGCGTTTGACACAGTTTCCCACACATGGCTAATGTGTAAGGTAAAGTCTACAGTCTTGGAAAAATCTGTATGTAAATGGATAGAAAACTGGCTAAAGGATCGTATTCAGAGAGTAGTGGTTAATGATTCATACACTGAATGGTCTAGGGTTGTCAGTGGTGTATGCCAAGGTTCAGTGTTGGGACCCTTACTTTGTAATATATTTGTAAACGATTTAGGGCCTGAGAGTATAAATACCATTTTAGTCTTTGCAGATGATACCAAGCTGTGCAGTGGAATAACGTCTTTACAGGATGTCTTCAATTTACAAGCCGACCTCAAATGCACTTTTTAATTGGGCAACTATGTGGTAAATGAGGTTTAATGTTAATAAATGTAAGTTTATGCACTTGGGGGCTAAGAATATGCATGCATCATACATACTAGGGGGGGTACAACTGGGGAATCAATGGTGGAGAAGGATCTGGGAGTTCTGGTAGATCACAAGCTTAATAATGGCATGCAATGCAAAGCTGCAGTTTCTACAGCAAGCAAAATCCTCTCTTGTATTAAAAGAGGTATAGACTCCAGAGAGAGAGAGAGATCATATTACCCCTGTACAAATCATTAGTAAGACCTCATCTGGAATATGCAGTTCAGTTTTGGGCACCAATTCACAAAAAGAACATTGAGGAACTTGAGAAAGTACAGAGAAGGGCAACCAAACTGATAAGAGGCATGGAGGAGCTCAGCTATGAGGAAAGATTAGAGGAACTAAATTTATTCTCTCTTGAGAAGAGGAGATTAAGGGGGGGATATGATGAACATGTATAAATACATCAGTGGTTCATATAGTGAGCTTGGTGTAGGTTATTCACCCTGAGGTCAACACAGAGGACAAGGGGGCACTCTTTACATCTGGATAAAAGAGATTTAATCTCCAAATACGGAAAGGTTTCTTCACAGTAAGAGCTGTGAAAATGTGGAATAGACTCCCTCAAGAGTTGGTTCTGGCCAGCTCAGTAGATTGCTTTAAAAAAGGCCTGGATTCTTTCCTAGATACACAGAATATAACTGAATACTAACATTTATAGGTAAAGTTGATCCAGGGAATATCCGATTGCCTCTCAGGGGGGATCAGGAAGGAATTTTTACCCCTGCAGAAGCAAATTGGATCATTATTTGCTGTTTTTTTTTTTTTATGGTTGAACTAGATGGACTTTTGTCTTTTTTCAGCCAGTCTTATTATGTAACTATGTGTTTAACCTTCAACAAATAGCAAAAGAGCAAGAGGCACCATAAGTTTATTGTATCGCTGAACATATATCATCTGCCAAGTAACCAAAAACCAAGCATTCCAAAAATTATGCTTTATTCCAAAATTTGCATATATAGATAATTGTCTATATATGCAAATTTTGGAATAAAGCATAATTTTTGGAACTTTTTGGGCATCGTTTCTGTTCATGATGTAACCGCTTTTCTTGTAAATCCCTTTTCATATCCCCCCTTATTTTGATACGTGTTTAACCTCCCTGGGTAGCTCGGGGTTAATTAACAGTACCAAAAGCGGTAACCCCGAACTGCACTTAGGATTACCCTGCAGCGTTGCTCTGGGATTCCCAGTTTCACTTACTTTGTCCTGCGCTCCCGCGATGTGTCCCCTGCAGCATCCCTGGGCCATCTCCTCCAGCCGATGCCGGCATCCGTCTTCCGGTCCCTGTGAGCGTTGGGGCGTACGGCGAGAAATTAAAAAATTTTTAAAAGTGACATTCACAAAATACACAAAAATCACATAGTAAAACATTACTGTTTCAAAGCATTTCACATACATTTTGTCCCTAGTGCTTTGTCCTGTGCCCTGCCTGCATTTTTACTGTTCTTTCTGTCTTGAAACTGAGAAAAGTCCATGGCGTCCAAAAAGCCACCAAAAACCACTTGCAGAATTGAGTGATAATGATTCGTAGGGAAATTCATCAGCAGACACTGAAAATAATTTTGTGACTAAGCTCAGTGATGTGCGAACTTATATTTACACTATATTTCAAATTTCAGTGTTTTTGGTTTGATTATACTATTATAATATTTATTATTATTATAATATTTATTATTATTATATTATTATTTTTTATGATTATATTTATTTATATTATAATTTATGATTTCATGTTTCAAATTGTGAATTATTCCTAAAAATTACAGGCCTACAATAAAAAAAACAACATATTTCCATGCAAAAAAAGTACTGCTTTGAGCACAGAAATACTGACATAATCATACCGCTAGGGAGGTTAAGGATTTGTTTTTATCAAAACATGTCTTGTGTTGTGTTGAGTTTTTAGTACTACTTTAACCGCTTCCCGTCCACCCTATAGCAGAAGTACTGCTACAGGGTGGCACGGGTGCGCAAAATCATATATATATATATATATATATATATATATATACATGATTTTGCGTTTCCGGGTGTGTGCGAGGCGTCCCAGCTTGTGATTACTCACTGGCGCCTGATGATTGCTGAGCATGTCTGATGAGGGGGGGAGAACTGTTTGTAAACAAAACAGTTCTCTCTTCTGTCAGCTCCTTCACACTGCTTTGCATGGCTCTGCATAGCACAGCCATGCCAAACAGTGTAAGTGAAGCACACACACAGCCCCACAGTAAAATACACACAGCACAGTTAACCCTTTCATTGCTCAACATGTTAACACCTTCCTGCCCAGTGCCATTAGTACAGTGTCAGTGCTTTTTGTTAGCACTGATCACTGTATTGGTATCACTGGGGATGTCAGTGACACCACGTCAGTTCCCCCCAGTGTCTGAATGCCCGCCGCAGTCCCGCAGTCACCGCCATTACTAGTAAAAATAAAATAAAAACATCCTAGTATATATACCGCCATTTGTAATCGCTATAAATTTAATGTAAACCAATTAATTTACATGTATTGGGATTTTTCTTAGCAAAGACATGGAGCAGAATATATTTTGGCCTAAATTTATGAAGAACTTTTTTTTTTTTTTTTTTTTTTTTAATGGACATGTTTAATAGCACAAATTCAAAAAAATTGTCAGTCTTTTTTTTTTTTTAATAGCTAAAAAAATAAAAACCACACAGGATATCACATACTACCAAAAGAAAGCTCTATTCGTGGGGAAAAAAGGACGTCAAGTTCATTTGGGTGCAGTGTTGCATAACCGTGCAATTGTCAGTTAAAGTAATGCAGTGCCGTAACGCAAAAAATGGCCTAGTCATGAAGGGGGGTAAATCCTCAGGAGGGCAAGTGGTTAAAGATGGAATTGGTTGCATTGCTTGTTAGAAATTCCTGCCTCACCATAAATTTGGTATAGCATCCATCTGCTTAAAGGATACATGTGGTACTAATTTGGAGAGGACACACAGTAAGGGTCATGAACCCATGGCTCCTAAA